ATGACAAACATTATCCATAATGAAATGGTCAGTGCCCTCACTGAGCTGATGGCATTTTGCAAATACTTCTATTGATGTATTGTTCCAAAAACACCTCACCGATGCACATGTGTGTGGGTATTCTGAAATCTTTTTACACACTCACATTGTGTAGCCCTGTCTTAATTAGGTAAAGAACTCATAATGTTAATCGTCTTCTTTTACCTTGCTTCACTCATACACTCACTTCATTAGGTGTGCCTACATGAAGTGTAGGTGTACAGAATCCCACCGCTGCTGCAGATTTATTGGCTCGATATCCATGATGAGAATCTCCCATTTGACCACATCTAACCTAATAGTTGCAACCTAAGTTGTAACAATCGACTTACTGCTGTCTTCCTATGAGCTTGCAGTAGTCTGACCAGTCTCCTCAAGCATCAAGCTTTTTTTTTTTTACCCTACCACTGGGTATTTTCTGTTTTTGGACCATTATTTCCAAACCCTAGAGTGGGAAAAATGTGGGAAAATCCCAGCAGATCAGCAGTTTCTTAAATACTAAAAGCAGCTCATCTAAATTATCTTTTCTTCCCCATTCTGATGCTTGGTTTGACCTTCAAAAGCTCTTCTTGACCATGTTCTTAAATGCATTGAGTTGCTGCCATTTGATTGGCTGATGAGATATTTGTCTTAATGAGGAGTTGAACAGGTATTCCTAATAAAAAGGGCAGTGAGAGTAGATGCTCTTATTAAACATGGCCAAAGTTTCAGATAACAAGGTGAGCATATATACAAAGAATAGCTGTAAGGCAAAAACTCATATTTCCTCTCGAGCACGCAGGTCTAAATGTGAATAAAGAAATCATTGGCTTGAATTGTGCGACATGCAAAGCCACCTTTAAATTTAAGGTGGCTTTGCGGCCAGCTGTCTTCAATACAGACATCAGCTGTGTCACTTTACTTGTTCATCAGTTAATGTCACCAGATATCGAACTGGGACTTTTATGTGCCAAATTGCAATCATTCACAATCAGCAAGGACCAAATGCAATAAATAAACACAAGAAAGAGCCACAGTAATGAAGTCATTTTTGTAGCATAGCTCATTTTATTGTTTAAACAGTTTTGCATAGGAAATATATCCACTTCCAGTAATTGACTGCAGTAAAAACAGCTGCTAGCAGTATAGGCTGGATATAACAGTAACAATCACAAAAAGTTGAGCCTTATTTACACTGATTTTAATCTTGTGGCAATTTTAGCCCCTGCACCAAATGTAACTAGCTTGAAGGCATCGCCTATTGGGTGGCGTTGATAAAAATCAATAAAAGAAGGGATATCAAGGCCTTTGCTATACAGTTCACAATGGACACCTGTGGCTCCTAAACTGTAAATGAAAAGATGAAAAGAACAAAACAAAACAAAAAAAAAGGTTTTCCAAAAGTCCTCTAAAACGTACATTCAGATACATACATAGACCTTTGCACACACTTGCAGTGTAACTACGATCACTACTGGAGACTGTTTACATATTGTTTTGTTGGTGTTGTTGTTGTTGTTCCTTTTATATATTTATATATATATAGATTCCACCGTGATTCCTAAAATAGAAATGTGTGCGCAGAGGGAAGTAAAAGTGCCACAAGACCCCAAAAGAAATCAGCCCTGCAGAGAAAAATGGTGACTAAAGAAATTCCGTCATTGCGCTTCATGTAGCACTGACCCTCCCGCCCAACTCCCCCCGCCCTCCCTGAAAAAAAAAAAAGAAAAAGAAAAAAGAAGAATTTCCTATTATTTTTTTTAACAAATCCGACGTGGGCATCGTGTGCTGACGTAATTCGAAAATGAATAAATCACAAAAAAAAACAAAAACACCAAAAGAAGTGATAAAGAGCATATTTTCAGATGCGTTTGCCACATTCTGCTCGGTGTGACGCCGTTTTCTTCTCGCCACGTAGGAAAGTTAAGTCTATCACATTCTACATATTGTATACAACAGACACTTGGACAGCTTGAACAGGCACTGCATTGCTATCTTTTAGTCTCCTTTTGGTGAATGTTACATCCTGTAAAAATGCTGGTTTTTCATGTTTCATAACAACCTGATGCCAAGTGACTAGCAGCTAGCCAAAGTATGGAAGATGTATATTGCTCATGTAGGATGAAAATGAAGTTTTCTCTTAAGTCTGCATGTGTACAAGCCTCTCAGTCCCTACAGAATGTGTGACATTCAGTTAAAAAGGAACAATCTCACATATTGCATGAGTGCCACAGGTCCTCCTTGCATAAAGTCGTCCTGTTTCTCTGCGATCGCAGCGATCAGTGTAATAATACTTTCCAGTCTCAGTATTTGCTCTGAATGGGGGCTCTTGAAGCTGCTGATGGGTTGAACACTGATTTTTTAAACCCGAAAACACTAGCTCAGCTGGAAGGTACAGTACCCTAATCTGAAGCACCTGAAAAGCATGTAGTATTTGTTTGTAGTGTGAATGGAGGGTTTTCTATAGTACATCAGGTTTTGACAACGTGTGAAATGACAAAAGTGCAAAATGAGTGGATGCTTTCTTTTAGGAAATTCTTAAAACAACATCGCCTGCATGCGAACGACGCGCACGGCTCCAAACTTGCCAGATATACGGTGAGATGCAGCACCGATCACGTTGCGACAATTGTGATTCTTTTTTTTTTAAGAACAAGAAGAAAAAGGAAAAAAATAAAATCCGACAGATTCATCAAGGACGTTTGTCACTGCAGATTTTACCCTGCTTCTCACTTAAGGTCAGGTGCAAACTGGGGCCTTTGCCTTACAGGTTTACTTCCCAGCTGCTACAAGAAACACACTCACACCACAATCTTGTTGGACAAGAATTCACACCCATTTCCAAAGAAAAGAAAAAAAAACCAACCCCCGAGATAAATCACACCACACGCTCTATGGCCACACTACTGAAAGAACAACAATTCAAATATTCATGAAGTCTTTCCCAAGTGGAAATATCTAAGCACTAACCAAGTTCAGAAATAATATTAATAAGAATAAAAAAAGCCTTCAATGTTGTTGTTTCTTAATATTTATGGATCAGTACAGAATACACACTCCCTCCCCGACCCCCCCTCTTTTTTCTTTACATACAGGAACACCTGATGAAAACACTAATCAGAGAAACCTGGAGAGTTCTAACTCAAATCCAGTCTCTGAAACAAACAAATCCAAATTTAAAAAAACATTTTTTTGTTTGTTTTTTCTTTTTCTTTTTTTCCTAAAATGGAATTGACTCATTTTCCCCAGAAATGAACATTTACAAATGTGGGCTTCAAAGAAGAACTCCCCCGAAAGTTTACAGTGTACAAACTCCTGTCCTACGGCAGGCTTTTTCTTTTCCTCGACAGAAAGACCCTCATCTTCTATCGCTGTGTAGTGTCGGAGGCACTCGATCATACATCCAGCTCGGAAATTTAACCGCGTACGCACTTGCACGCACGCTCAAGCTGCCAAAGCAGAGTTCAGCCTCGCAGACCGCAGCTATCGACGCAGTCAGGATATTTACCATTATGTACAGTCTCCTCTTCAAACAGACACCAGCACAACAGCACAGTGACCCTGACACACACACACACACACACACACACACACACACAC